AATTGGAACTAATTTCTTCACATTGCCCTGTTTATTAATTTAAATTTTTACTTTTAGTCACGTAATAAGACCGAATTCCCTTTGTTTAAGGCTCTTGCATGTAAGTTCTTGAAGCTTTAAATGTAAAAAAGACGATGGGCACGAAGATAAAACGGGCTGTAAATTATGCAAACATGTATTATAAGTATTTAAGTGCCTATTTTGTATACACACGGGTGTACACGAGAATCAGGTGCATGTGTGCACACCTGAACTTTATCGAAAAGCTCAATGAGCTTGATGAGCCGAGGTGTTAATAAAATAAACAAAATAACCATTAAAGATAATGAATCCAAGTGAAATAAAAATAGACCGCACTCGAGAACATACCTGATAACGTCAATTTTCTAATGTTGTTTATTTAGGTGCTGTTTCTCTATGATACCAAAAGTAATTAATTTTTCCACCCTAGAAAATTAATTCTTTTGTTTGGGTTCCGTACAAAACATGATACATTGGAACCCTGACATTTACCAAGGTGATTTCTAATAATATTTATATTTTCTTTGCGACGGGGGGGATGGAGTTTTTAATAGTAGAATACCAAGATTGCCAAAACACTTTCGACGTCACCATGATCCATCATGGGGATTTTATCAATAAATCGCGATTACAATCCGCAAATCCAGCTTCTTATCTTCTTCATCTTATTATCCTAGCTCTCCCATTTTTTGAGTAACATTATTTCCAATATCTCCTCATACAGATCCGTGTTTCAAACTTACATATTTAATAATATTTTTGTTGGTTCTCCATAATAATGAGGTATGATATCCAGCTGTGAGCGGTTGTTTATTTAATTTTAAATGCGTGCACCCCTTGAGTGGTATTAGGGGGCTCATCCCGAGTTCACGCCTTGCTAAGGGGATTTAAACCACCCATTGTTACGCTGAGAGCCGAAATTAAAACCCGAGAACTTTATTTCTGCCCTCTACTCTCTGTCGCTCTTGTACAGTTACGGATTATAAATTTTCACAAAGGGGGTTGAACGTATTTTTTTCATTTCGTTACTGCAGATTGAACAGAATATGCCCACCGTTAAATTGTAATAACAATTACCGTAATAGGTATTAGAAAAAAAACAATTTAATTGTTGTAATAAAATCCAACATACGTAATTGTAATAAATTTCACATACGTAATTGGATATACGGTATAGGCGAATTGAGAATCGGACCCTAAAACTGCGGCATTATCGAAGGAATGTGTAATTTCTGTGTTCGGTAAACGTTTTGCCTTATCTGTACACGTTATCTATTAAATGAAAACTTATTTATGTTTTCGGTAGAGGTTTTAAAATTGAATTGGTTTGGAATTAGCATTATAAGTTTGTTTGTCGTTATAAAATGATGATTGTATCTAAAGCTAGTCGTACACAGTATACGGATATTGGACATAGATGGGGGAGATGACGTATCTCGTACTTTTTTTTCTTTTTGGGGTACGAACAGGGCGCCCTGTTATATAATTAAACGGGACGCAGTTTTTGGGGTACCTATTTTGGGTTAAAGAATCGTCCTATTTTACGTTTTATCTGAAGATCAAATTTTTCTAATCATGCAGTCAAGTGGAACAATTATAATGAAATTAAACTAGTGTAAGCAACTATGATGAACTCAATTTGTACCATACAGGGTGTTTTATTTTGTAAAGATGTGTTACCTGGAAACCTTTACTGATATAATATTATAAACGTCAAAATTTTAATGTAGTTGTTAGAATTTGCCAGTCAGACTGAACACCAAATATGAATATAGGATTTTTTATTAAAAATTTTAATTAAACGTTAATATTCTGCAAATCGAAAGTAGGTCTAAAAAAAGCTTCCACCTTAAACGTTCAATAGTTTTTATTATTTATACTTCAGTATGAACGTATAAACTATAAATAAATTTAACAATTTGGTAAAGGTCTAGACAATCCCCCTGGGGACAGGGGGGGTTGAAAGAGGAGGAACTTTGTGGCGGTCTCACCCCCATGAAAAGTTAAGGGGGCTCAAAGTTTATTATTTTGTTGATTTTCATATGCTTGGGGGTATGTAAATTTAATTTGGATATAAATTTTCAAAGAATATTCGAAAATGAAAACAATGAAAACTACATAGGAACAATGAATAATTTACATAATACATTATTTAGATAGTTGTATCTTACTACAAAGAAATTGAGAAATGTAGATATCGAGTTTATGACACAACTAAAAAAAAATTGTTTTAATTGGTTTTTTTGACTCTTTATTAATTATCAATATTTATAAATGTTGGATAATTAGTAATAATAAGTAATCTATTAAATTTTATTAGACTTTATAGTGTATG